CTTGACAGACCTCTGCGGGTCTGAGAAAGAATATTTTAGACAATCGACAATAACCAACCTTGTGAACCAGAGCCGAAGAATTCCAACTCTTTCTTCGACCATTGGGCTGGGAAAAAGGGACTCTTGGGGTCATCCTGACCGCAGGGAACCCAAGACTACCCCACTAAACCTTCTCCCCAGCTGCCTGGGCTCACCAGGACATTCCTGTCCCCCACCAGGTGCTGTGCTCCACCTGCACGACCTCGCCCTGCTGAGCGTGGGCTGGCTGGTGTTCAATGCCTCCTACCTGCCCGACTGCTACATCTGCTTCATCCCCACGGGCTCCGTGCGCTTCCGCTTCTCCCGGCCGCGCCCGCCGCGCCCGCCGCCAGCCCCGTGCTCCCCGTGGCTCCTGCTGGACACCTACCGGGGACAGCTGAGGGACGTGGCCGAGTTTGACAGAGGGTGAGTGGGCAGGGGTGGCCTGTTGGTGCTCCATGGTGTAGCCAGCAGGAGCGTTCTGGTCCAGCTTTCCCGTTTGCTCGCTGCTCTGCGAGGGAGGAACTCCGTCCAGGGCTGTGAAAAAGCAAATAGCAATGTAAGAGCGTGAGGGCTGCTGCATTAAGTACAGCACAGTCAGGGACCATAAAAACCTGATTTTTTCTATGCACACGTACTGAGGACACATGCTGAAGTAGATTTATGAGACCTGGCCCCAGCTCTCCATGTGGGACAGGGCTGCATGGTGCCTCATCCAGTGAGGTATCCAAAATCTGGATGAGGAAGCCAGGCAGCTGATGAACAGGCTCTCCCCAACAGCCGAAAAGCCCTTTGCAAAGTCATTGTTTTGATTCAGAGCAAGAAGTTGCAGAAAATATTTGTGTTAATTACTACACTAGCAAAAACCCTCAAACTTCCCAAAATAAAACCTAACCCAACTGTTCCTCCAAACACCAAACTTGTTTTCTGAGGCCTGCCTTTGAAACCCCACCGGCACCCATCACCTGGAAGCATGAGGCACTCATTCCCAACAGGCACCAGGAGCTGTGCCTCACCCTCCTGGGCACTGGCTGAGCCAAGGAGCCCCACACACAAGACCCCTGCCTGGTTTGGGGGCTCCTTCCCCTCAAAAACCCTCCTGCTAGCAGAGCATCTGCCCTTACAGGCAGCTGTCCAGGTGCTCACACCTGAGCTGGCTCCCCAGAGCATCACTCACCTCCTGCAGGAGCTCCTCTCCCTGCAGGCAGCTCCTGCCTTTGCTGCTGGCAGCCTTTTATCAGGGCTGGGCTTGTCTGAACCACCTGGCATTTAATCACTTACAGGTGGCTGGGAAGAGCCTGGCTCCCCCTCTAGCCAGTGGTGATGGGAGCACAGAGTCCTATCTCCCCATCCAGGGGCCATTGATCCCGGGACAAAGCCTTGCTGAAAAGGCCAAGAGGAAGCACGCAGCTCTGCCGTGGTGTGTGGGGGGCTGGAGGGAGCACGCTAAATAATGCATGAAGTCAGACACTGAGCGATGAGGACAAAGGAAAATATTGAGTAGCCATCCATTCAGAGGGCACCGCTGTCCGTGGCGCTCCAGGGGCTGGGGTGTGCAGAAAAAAAAGTGTGGGGTGTCGTGTAATGACAGACAGTATTGCCATGCCTACACACAAGGAGAGGGCTGGATTGAGGCAGTGCAGGTGACCCTAATTCCAGCATTTCCCAAGTGAAACTTGGTGGGTTTTACTGCAGTGAGGGTGGGTTTTACTGCAGTGAGGTTGTGTGCTCTTAAATAGAGACCTTTTAACTCTGGGTGTGCTGGCATCCCCTCCACGTGGAAGCTGTCTGGGCTCTGTGGCCTGCAGATCTGGGAAGGAGGTCAGGTTGGGAAGCTGAGGAGCTTCCAGACTTGTGGCATGGTATTGCCTTCCCTCCCCAAAACCAGCAATGGGCAGGGCAGAGGGCTCTGACTCGCCAGGGCATCCACCATCCCTCTCTTATGGAAGTCCAGGAGGGAAGGAGAATATGATGCCAGACCCTGGGCTCTTGACCTTTTATATCCTGAGGCTCAACTGCCCTGACACATGATGGACGAAATAAGATCCAGTGAGAAATCACCAGAGAGAAAACTGGTTCCCCATTAGCTCCTTTCCATCTCTGCTGGGAGTGATGAGGAAGGAAAGATGACAGCACCAGCTCTCTTCAACCACACCAGGAGACCCATAAATAATGTGGAAGAGATTGGATTTTGAAACAGCTTCACTTCCTTAAAGCAATTGCACTGAGCATTTAGAGGTGTCTCAGGAGCAACCCTTCACTGCACTTGTTTTTGGTTGTGTTTCCATGGCATGATGCCACTTTCTGGCAGAGGCTGAAGGGCAGGGCATCCTGTACACCCTGTACACCTGGGTGACTGGGGCTGTGCATTGTGTGGTCCCCTCTGTTCCTGGGTGGAAACACTTGTTTTCAGAGGTAGTATTGCCACATTCCTCTTCTTTTGTATTTCCCTGACAGTGTTTAGTGGCCACAAGTCAGAGCAGGACTTCAGAGTGGCAGGCCCTGCACAGGGACACAAGACAGAGCCTCGCTGCAAGGGTCTCCCCAAATGTGGAGGGGAGACTGAGGCAGAGGCCAGTGAAGTGATTATCCTCAGCAAACATGTGCCTGAGCCAAGAACAAACTTGGATCTCTGGCATCCTGGGTGCTCACTTATCCATTTGAGTATGTTGTCCTTCATTTCTTGCCCTTCTGTGCTCATCACCACAAAATCACAGAGGAGTCATTAGGCATAATGTGCAAACACACCAACAACAGCCACGCTGAGGCACTTCCCCTCCTATTCTCATCTAATCCCTGGGCACTAGTCTAGGGGTTAGGAATGCTTTTGGCCGTCTGGAAATAGGTCTCTAGCCAGGAATAGGCCCCAATCTGTTCTGCTTCTCAGTTTCTGGAAACTCTCCCAGTCTCTTGAACATGTGCATCCCAGGCTACCTCTCTCCTGCACTCCTCTTTGCCCTTGAGCACTGACAAGCTGAGAGAAAGCAGATGTCAGAGGGAAGAACGGATGGATAGTTGGGTGGTTTCAAGGAAGTGTCAAGGGAATATGGCAGCAGGGAAGGGCTCTCATGCAAGGCAGGGTAGATCAGCAAATGTGAAGGAACAATGGAAATGTTTCTGAGAAGCTGCACCTCTTTCACCTTACATTATTTCTGACCAGGAAGGGGTAGAAGAAAGGGGAATCTGCAAGATTTTTTTGCTGTTTGCATTTTCAAGTACATATGTGTGTGTGTGTGTGTGTGCTTTGGAAGGGACTCCTTTTGTTTGTTTCCCTCAAGAGAAGGTCTAATCATTCCTATTCAAAGCACACATCTCATGGGCCAAGACCCCGGAGTATTGTGTTACTGGTGAGCTTCCAAAAGGATGCTCTGAGGAGAGCCAGGAGACCACAGGCCAAGGGACAGCGAAAGGAAGGGAATTTTGTTTTCATACTTAAAAGGAAAAACAATCCTCACTTGTTTTCTCCACAATCAATTACGATACAGGAGAATGTCATTCTTCCCCTCAAGAAGCATCATAATGGCTGCCACCTCCAAAGCAAGAGTGTGCCCCCAGACATTTAGGGAAGCAGCATTGACATTCCAGATATTTGTAAAATACCACTGCACACCCCCCACCAGCAGCACAAGGACTGAGGCTGTGCCCAGCAGAGCTCTCTATCACCAGGATGAAGTCATCTGTGAGGGAGCTGACACCACGGCCGAGGCTTCAGGGACAGCTCCCCTGGGCACTGGCTGCTGCCCTGGCTGCCATCACCTTCCCCTCTGTCTTCTGACTGCCTTATCTCACAGAAAAATAGGGCAGTGTGTGCAGTAAGAGGGGGGGAAAAAAAGAATAAAAATCCACTACAGAAACAAAGCACTCCACTCCCTCTACAAGTCTCCCCTTGGGGAGAAGAAGAGGGGATGAGAGAGAGCGAGAGAAAGCGAATGAACCACATGTGACAGATGTTAGTCACACTATTTAATGCACCACTGGAAGACATTTAGCTACTACGGTGAGGAGAGGGGCATAATTACCCATCAAGAACAGAAAAAGGAGCAGGAAAAAAAATCCCTTTAAAAACAAAGCAACAAAACATTTCACTTCTGTATTATATAGCACAGGAAAGGAAAACAGGGAAAAAACCCAGGAAAAGAGAAGGCAAACCCACAGCTGAAAATAAATAATCCTTGGCTGGTCATTTTTGCTGTGCCCCTTTGGGCATATGCATTGCAACAGCATTGTTCAGTGCATATATGACATGACATGGAAGGCTATTTGTAGTCTGCACCTGATCACTGGCAAAGGCCCATTCCAGAAAAGAAGCAAAAAAAGAATGTATTTACGAAGCTTTGCTTCATCTGCATGAGCTACTGATGGCAGAAGCCCCCGAACCCTTAGGAGATTATCTGCTTATCAAGGATGGATCACTATTATGCAATAAATCTTCAACAGTTGTAAGGATCAATAATCAGTCTCAAAGGGAAGGGGATTATAAAGAGAAGTCCAATTTGATTTATGTGCTTTTAGGAGCAGGGTGGTGTGGGGATTTATTGCTGTTCCTAGCCCAAGAGCACAGGCTAAGTAAACAACCACGAGTTTGTACAGCCGGATTTAAAGGCAGGAGCGGAGCCCTGCGTGCGCTCATTGCTGGAGGAGCCGAGTTCTCACAGCACAAGGGGAGAAAGTGCTGGGAGCCCCACTAAGCACCCATCCTTATCTGGAAGGAGCTGCCTGCAGTGCGAGAACGGGCTTGCACAGCCTTTTGATCCACGGGGAGGTTTTTCCCTGAGCGCCCGCAGCGCCGGTGGGAACAGCCCCGCTCGGCTCCCGGCTCCGGGCAGGTGCCGAGCTGGAGGGGAGCTGCCCTTCGGCCACGAGGGAAGGGCAAAATTCTCCTTCCCCCAGCTCTTCCCACACGAAAGCTCCCTGATGAGCAGCGGCACAGCCTCTCTGCCGGCGGCTGCCCCCCTCCGCTGGATCAGCGCCTTCAGGATGCTCCTGACTCCGGCATTCCTGGTTTCTAGGGTGATGCCGGGGTGTCTCCTCGCTTCCGTGGTCCAGCTCGGTCTTCTCTGGTTGCATGGATTACTGAGCAGTAGCTGGGGTTGCCCAGTGTCCTGCGATAAAGGCACCAAAGCCCCTATTGTAATGCGTGGGAGGGCAAGCCCAAGTTGCTGTGGAGACCTTAACTCTGAATTTTCCTGACTGTTGAGCATTTAAAGTCTCGTCCTTAACAGTAGTAGCATGTCTTTTATGTACAGGTTTTCTTCTAAAATTGTTCCTGGCAAAGAAATTAACAGAGTGAGGAAGAAATGAAACTGCAGGCCCTGGAAGAGAATCCTTAGAGAGTGAAACAGCAGGCAAATCCTGGGGGAATGGGCTCTGTTTTATGGGCAGGATGGAGGGATTCAAAAGGCATATCTGTCCAGGATGTCTCAGTTTATGAATCTGGACCAGATCACATTTTACATCTGTAGGGGGGCTGTGGGGGTTTAATTCCATCCACAGAACTGTCCTGGATGAGGATAATAAGATCACAAATCAAAGCCACACCTCCCATATAACAGAGCAGAGCACTGCACGAGGATGGGGGCCAAGACATCAAACAGGAAACATTATTAAAGATCAGTAGCTGTTATTGAGGGGAAACAATATACCCAGATGAAAGCTGAAGCATGGCTGAAGGTATTTCTGTCTGAACCTGCTTAGCCCCTGACACGAGATAAGCACTGGGCCAGCAAGAAAACATCTGTAGGTTTCTGTGATGGCTTCCATTTGTCCACCCAGGAATGAAGTTAATCACCCCTGCACTGCCATTTAGACTTTGCCCACTGATAGGAGAAATTTATTATGAACTACTCTTCAGGTGGAAGAAGGAGGGCTGTTGCCAGAGGCAGGGTTTCAGGTGGGATGAAGGCTATCAGCTTGCCAGAGGATGGTGGTGTGGCACAAATGTTCACCCTGTCCTAAATGCAAGCTGTCACCCACAATTAGATATTCTTGCAATTTACTGGCTTCCATAAAGTCTGCTTGATAAAACTACCCACTGTCTCCCTGGATTTCTGAAAGAGGATTATATGCCAGCTGAGTGGATGGAGGAAATAAATACATTTCCATCACAGTAAGGAAAAGCCAGGACTGAGATTCTTATCAGCTGTTTCCCTGAAGTAGCTATCAGCAAGGCAGGTGGGGAGTCAGGTTTGTTCTCAGTGGCTGGGAAAAATGATTTCTGATTCAGAGCTGTCTTCCCCTTGCATTTTTTTGGGTGACATATTTTGGCATGTCAAAAGTACCAGGACAACTTACAGGCTCAGCAAGCAGGCTGGTGGTGGCCCAGTACATGTAAACTGTCCTGTAAACTCAGTCTGCCTTTTAGGTGAACAAAGGACCAAGTGTTGTGACATCTTATCTGCATTGAAGATTCTTGGGAAAACATATTGTCTGCAGGAGTAACGTGCATGCCTGCTTTCAGATTAGGGATACCCTGCGTAGCAGAGTAAGATTGATATAAAAGATTTTCAGGTTAGGGTTACCCTGGGTAGCAGAGTATAAATGATATAAAAGATTTTCAGGTTAGGGATATCCTGAGTAGCAGAGTATAATTGATTTAAAAGCATCATACTTGCTTTTGTAACTCTGTTCTTTGAAAAAGGGACGGGGCAGGTTTTAAGCACCTACTTCTACCCTGCTTACAGCTCAGCATGTGTCATGCAAATTCTGTGCCAGCCATTAGAGGAGTAAATACCGGTGGCAGAAAAATGACCTGAATGCCTCCTAGTTGCACCAGTCACTGTTGTACTGCAGTTCCAACAGGCTCTGTTTGCTCTCCTCATTCCTTCTCTTCTCCCTTTTCTATAGCTTGCTGAGAAACCTGACCCTGGTGACAGATGCCCCTGAGCTGGCCTACCCTTCTCAGACTTTCATTTGGAAAAGATTTGAAGAAATCTTTCTCATTGCCTCTGGACTTATCTGCTATGCACCTGTGTTCAAGGCCTATTTCTACCAGGGGCTGCTGGAGCTCTATGAAGATAACATACAGTATGTTGAGATAAGAGCTATCCTGCCTGCGGTACGTGGGGTTTGGCTTCTCTAGTAGTCTTTTAAATCCTTATTTCTCCATAGCTTTTCTCAAGCCCTATCTTGAATTTAGTTTTTGGATGTTTGCATACCTGCCCTTCTAAGGATGCTGGAAAGCCTTGATCATATTCAAACATCTGTCTTGGAGATTTGCATAGTCAAGGGCTTGAAACTGAGAGATTCTTTGTTCTTAATGGCTAAGAATGAGAAATTCTTTGCTCTTAATGTCACCTTCTGTGACATAGGCACAAAACTACATTGTACAGTCAGACTGAGAGCTGGGTCAAAATCTTGCTCATTGGGAAGATGTAGCTCAGTTTTGTCTGCACCAGAATCACCTGTTCTGTGGCAGCTACTCTGAACAAATTTTCTCTCTTGGATAGAGACTTATTCTGGAATAGTTACGTTATTTTAAATCCTGAGCTTATTTCAGAATGATTACTCTGAATAGGTGAGTCAATCAATTGGCAAAACACAGCCTCCCACAATTTGCAGACAACCCAAAATTTTAGCTATGTGTATGAAGTATTAACTGCTCCTTTCAATGCTATTAACACCAAAATCTGGAAATGGTTCAGGCCTTTCACCCAGAGCTGGTCTGATCTCCAAGCCCACTCTGCCCAAATGCCTCCCCAAGCACCAGCAGACCACACCACCCTAAGTGTTCCCACTTTCCCAGTGACAATTTTGTCACTGCAGACACACCTTTCCCGTGCAATTCTCCAGCCCAGCTCCATGCAGGACTCCATTGGGGTGGGAGTTCTGTCAGTCTATCCTGCCTGAGAGCAGAAGAAAGTATTGCGAAGGGAAAAAAAAAAAAACAAAAAAACAAAAAAAAGGATGTGAAGAAGTTCACAAAGTTAACATGAGTCTTACTTTGCTGAGGGTTGCCATAAGCCAGTTGCTCTGAATTCAGCCACCACCTCTCTTTGGGGAACCTGGAAAGAGAAAATAACAGCAATGTCAAAATGCCGGTGCTGTGAGGCAGTGCGAGCTCTGGTGTCCCCCCAGGCCACACAGGTTTCCAGGCCAAGAGTATCTGCCATGATACAAGTGCGTGGGCCTGACTGGAAAATACCCTGCCTTTACCATCAGCCCTTAGACATGGTTCTAAGTCCTTTTGAAGAGAGGCTTGGCAGGGAAGGTTTGCTTCCCATCCAGCTCCTGATGCTGGCAGCAGCCGTGGGAGCCTGCAGAGCCCTGGGGCTTGCCCGCAGCCAGCAGCTGTGAGCTGTGAGCTCCAGTGCTGTGAGCTCCAGGGCTGTGAGCTCCAGGGCTGTGAGCTCCAGGGCTGTGAGCTCCAATGCTGTGAGCTCAGTGCTGTGAGCTCCAGGGCTGTGAGCTCCAATGCTGTGAGCTCCAGGGCTGTGAGCTCCAATGCTGTGGGCTCCAGGGCTGTGAGCTCCAATGCTGTGGGCTCCAGGGCTGTGAGCTCCAATGCTGCAGGCTCCAGGCAGGCTGCCTGCAGCCCGGGTACCATTTCAGGGAATTCCAGGAGCCGTGGCCACGCCGGGATGGAGGGCAGAGCAGGCAGTGAAGGGACAGCCAGGCTGAAGCTGGGGTGAGAGGGCAGGGAAATGCTTCATGGGGAAAGTCAAGGTGAGCAGGGTGTGACTGGAACAGCAAGATGCTCGTGTGGCTGGAGATCCTCCACAAGGCTCCACAGCAGCGCTGAGGCTGCAAAAGCTCTCCTTGCAGCAAAGCCTGCCAGAAGCGGCCCCGAGGTAAAGTAAATGAAACTGGGATTTAGTGTGAAACAGCAAACACTGTGGAAAAGCCCCCTAAGCCCAGCTGTGTTTGCAGATTCAGCTGTGTAAAGTCTCACATTCCCATGGGCTGCAGCTGGGGAAAATTCCCTCTTAGCGTCTGCAGCTGCCCCACAGCTGCTGGTGCCTGCAAGGGGGACACTGGATTGTGACGGGGTGTGGGGCTTTGCAGGGGCATCCCTGCAAGGGACAGCACCAGAGAGGAAGTTAGGGGGTGAAGTGGAGTAGTTGAAGGCTGGAGGAGAAAGGTGACAGAGAAAAGGATGGTGAGAAGGGCGAGAGGAGAACTAATGGAGTGGTTTCAGCTGCTGTCTGTGAGCGACTGCAGGCAGGGCCTTTGTGGGTTAGTATCAATTCAGGGTCTCCATCCCTGCTGAAATCAGGTCAAAAGCCCTGAGAACAGCCCTGGCAGAGAGGAACCTCCAGAGCAAGTTGATGAGACAGAGCAAAAGGATTATTTTTCCCAGTTTGCAGCCAGGGACCTGGGAAAGCATGGCAAGACTAAATGACTGACTCAAGGTCATGAAGCAAACCTCTGGCAGAGGGGAGCAGGAGCCCAGCTCAGCTGGCAGCTTATGGAGCTCAGCCATCGCGTGCCTTGGGGCTGCCTCGGCTGACAGATTGCCACTGCAAGGCACAGAGCATGTCTGAGCTGCAGACAGCTGGACAAAACACTGCAGTGCTGGATACACACAGGAGTAAGAGGTCACGGTCTCTTCGGGGTTCTCAAGGGCGTTTGCTTGCCACGTCTGAACACGGAGAAACTTGTATCACATAGGAGGGGGGAAACCCACTCCTTGGTTCTTGCCAGCTGGTAAAGGCTTGAAGAAGGAAATGTTCTGCACAGATTTTACCGCTTTTGTTTTCCTGCCCTGCTCTCAGGACCACAGCACTCTGCTTCTCCCAAGGTTTTTGTCACTACATTTCTCCCACCTTCCAGTAAAACACCTCTTCTAACTACTGCTTGTCACGTGCTTTTCACGCTGCAGGTGTATGAACTGGATGGCACCAAGCACAATAAATCATGGTCTGTGGCAGCCTACCGGGAAGTGACCAGGCAGTTTGTGAAGGAGCACCCAGACTTTGTTGGAGCCAAGGTTATATTTGCAGCGCACAGGTAGAGGCTGAGCAGGGCTGAGAGCGGCTGTGCCGTGTCGGAGGTGGGCAGAGGGCTGGGAGAGGCAATGCTGGGCTGGAGTGCTAAAGTTGGTTTGCAATGTCCATGTGCATCATTAGAGCTGGGGTGCTGACTCCTGAGACATTCCCTGGCACGTGTGAAAGGCTGAGGGTGAGAATTCATCCACATGAGTCTGCCTACGTGCGAGGCGAGCGCCAGAAGAGCGTCCGTGAGCCCTGGGAGTGGGAATGAACCCGGGCAGGGCTGCCTGTGTGCATGTCCAAGCCGTGCCTGCTCTCCCCCCGAGCCTGGATGCACTCCCCTGCCCTGCAGACACTGGAGCAGTGACAGCAGTGCCCGAGTATGGGCACTTGGTGTGGCAGAGGTGCCCGTGGCACCCGGCACATGCCGCTCCCCGCAGCCTGTGTACGGTATGTTCACACAAGGCTGCCCTCCAAGGCAGCCACATGCCATGAAGTCATGTGAGGTGATCCTCAGCAGGCAGAGCAGACCTCTCAGCAGCACTGACTCGCTCTGCTTTGGCACAATGCCCTCTCCAGTTCAGAGCTGGCTTGCCTCTCTGGCCAGCTTGAGTATGGACGCAGTCTGCAAAATGCACCGAGAAGTTTAAGTCTGATAGGGCTGGAGGAAACCTGAATGTAAAACTCTCTTGAAATGCAGTTACTGCCTCACCTCCCAACAAAACAGCCGGGAGGAAAGAAAAAAAAGTAAACATTTTCTCTCCACATTGTTATGTTCCCTTCTCTGCTTGGTAAATGGGTAAGCCAGTGAGTTAGACAAGCATGCCTCAACTCAAGTGACAGCAGGGTCTAGCCAGGCATTTCCTGGTCATTCATGGGTTTCGTTTCATAATATCAATCTTCTACTGCTGTTCCTCTAGAGACCTGAAGCTGGTTGTCAGATTCAAGAGCAGCGTGCATTTTGGAAATACCCCTGGGGGCCCCATTTCACAACTCAAACCCTGAGAAGGCAGGCCCATGGGAGTCAGCTCCTGCAGCGCTTTCTCTCTCTTGCTCTCTAGGATGCTGAATGTCTCCCAGATTAAAGAAGCCATCATCACTGCCATGGCACTCAGAGCCCGCTTCCCAGACACCCTGGCAGGCTTCGACCTGGTAACTGTGTTTCTTCTGGGGCTTCACATTGACCCCTGCTGATATAACCACATATATACCGTGGCATATGTTGTATACCAGAGCCAGAACCTCTGCTGCTGTACTGAAATCAGTATTAATGAATTGCAAATCCTCCAGCTAAGGATTTTGTTCAGGGTAATTGACAAAATCCCCTGAAAGAATCAGCTCCCTACCCCACAGCATTGTAATTTCAGCACAGCTGGCACCTCATTTATACAGAGCTGTAAGTCCCACCATCTTCCCAAGCATGCTCAAAAATACCTTTCTGCTTTCCCCAGGTTGGTGATGAGGACAAAGGTCATTCTTTATGGGACCTGAAGGATGCCCTGACCATCCCATATTCCATGGGGGTCAACTTGCCGTACTTTTTCCATGCTGGGGAGACTGGTGAGCACGAGGACTCAAGGCTTGTTACTGCTTGCAGAGGCAAGACTGAAATCTTGCAAAGAGCAGAAGCAGCAAGCCTGGCTTGCTTGCTGGCTGTATCAAGAGGATGTGTGTGCACACACGTGCACATAACCAGTTTCCCCTGTGCTTCTCCCCATATCAGCTTGGGGCTGTGGCATTCCCACATGAACTCTCCCTGCTTTGGACTGCAGATGTCACATTGCTCAGCATCTTTGAGCTGGTGTAGGAGTTATTGCTGGTAGCCATTTCCCCCTTGGAGCAGCACTCACTTCCCACTCACAACTGCAGCAGGGTCCTCCAACCATCATTTTACAATTTAAGGTGAAATAATGTTTGAGTCAGACTTGAGTCTTAACTGAGCAGGCTCATCAAAGTAACTGATGTACCCTGCATTGCTGGGGCAATGTATTATTATTGGCAATATATTATTCAGCCTGCATTGGTGGGATTTATCCTAACCAGGAGAGTCTGTCTAACTTGTGCCTTGTGTGTTGCATGTTGACATCAACAAAAAAAGTCTGGTTACCCTGGGCTCCCTTTATAGCCACAGGCAGGAGCAAGCCCTTCTAAGCCACAATACACCTCATTCTAATGCACAGGCTACTCCCCAGTAATTGCTTCTCTCCATTGATAAGTAATGGAGTCCAGCATAATTAACTCAGCTGCAAGAGCAATACTGTAAACATCTAAAGCCAGGTGAAATGAGTGGGTATCTCTATGCTGGGCAATATCCTGGGCAGATTTAGGTCCCTGTTTCACTGAAAACGCAAGTGTAAACTCTGAGCATGAGCAACCCTCTCACCTCACAACTGGGACATCTATTAACACAATCATCTTGCAGTCTGAGAAGCTTTATTTCCTCACAGCACTGCAGTGACTCTTGTCTGTCTCTGCTCAGATTGGCAGGGCACCTCTGTAGACAATAATGTGCTGGATGCATTGCTACTGAATACCAGCAGGATTGGCCATGGACTTGCTCTCATCAAACACCCAGTAGCCAAAAATTTGTCTCTGAAGAGGGATATTCCTGTAGAAGTCTGTCCCATCTCCAACCAGGTATGTTGTTATGTGGCTGGGTCGCTGTAAAGGGGTTCACCATGGCTGTGAGGGTCAGCTGGGGGGCACCTACAAGTTTTGATGCACACAGGCTGGCTTAGTTTCCTTTGCAGCACCTTACACTGCAGTTTGCTATGCAGATGTACACTGTGAATATATATAAGGCACGTAGTGCCAGTCAGCAAAAAAATAATTTAACTTCCTATCCAGAGGAACCCGGGAAGGCAGTCCTCCCTAGTGGAGATGAGGCCCAGAGACACAGAGGGGCCTTAAGAAACATAATTGAAAATACTTCAAAACCAGGAGGGCCAGAGACTGAGAAGCAGGGATTGTAACTGGAAGTCCTTGGTTTTGCAGAATTCGTAACCAGTGGGAACTCTTTTGCAGCACATTAGAGTGGTGCCATTGTTCCCTGGGTGCAGCAAAAAGGATACTTTGGGTGGAGATTTACTGGTGTGAGCCTTAAGGGAGAGAGCCCTGAACTCCAGACGCCTCAAGCTAAGCACCACAGCAAATGTGTAACCAAAAAACTGTTCCTGAATTGCTCACAGTCAAATTGTTCTAAATAAGCACAAGTTATTAACCCCACTGGACTTGATTAAAGGTGATTTATATAAGAAATTAATCTCCTTGTACAGTCAGTGGAGACAAGCTGCTTCCTCCTGCAGCAGTTCAGGGCAGAAAACATTCTGAACAGTCCTCTGGA